CTGGCAAACTTCGGGCTCGATTATTTTGGTCTTCCCGGCCGATTTTGCAAAAATAAATATCGCCATCGTATTCAGAAAATTTTTCTCTTCAGAATAAGGCCTCGACCTCAAAAATTGACGATTTTTGTACGGAAAATACAGGCTGTCCCAAAAAAATCGACCCCCTCTAGCGGACCGCAGTCAGGTCCGCGTGTGACGATTTAGGTATCCATCGAAAGCTCTCGAAAAGGCGAGAAAACAAGCACTTTTCGTTTTTTAATATAATTGGGACTGCCTAAATTTGGGACCAAAATCCATGAAAACGGCAGATTTTATGCAAAAACAGCATGTTAAAGCAAACAGGACGACGCTGACTTTACGCTTTTTTGAGTAATCGTTAAATATCGATTGCGGGCTAAAAAAATTTATAAAACGAAAGGGGCTTGTTTTTTCGCCGTTTCAAGGGCTTTCGAATGGTGTAAAAATCATCCCGATCCGACCTTCCGCCGGACCGCTAGAGGGGGGTCGGTTTTTTTGGGACAGCCTGTAGTGAAACACAGCTTACTTCAAACAGCTGTAAAACGTCGTCTAGACGAAGTCTACCTTAATGAAATATACCGTTCGAATCAGAAAAAAAATTTCTATCAGATAGGCTACTTCAAATAAATTAGAACTTTACAATAAAAAAGAACGGAATCATGGCAACACACTTCTCGGGGAGGGGGGGCGAAAAACGACACTAACACTTTAATACCTCGAGTTTTAAAGATCAGTAACAAATTTGGATAACGGAATGATGGTTAGCGTCGTCGATTCCATCTGTGTGTAAATTTTCAGCCAATTCTGAGTCCGGGTTTATACGGGCTTCCATAGTAAGCCTCGGCATAAGCCTGAATAAAAAATTACAAAACTTTTTCTAGGGCACGAATTCCATCAGTTTTGGCACCGTTACCCCGGATCCTCTATCGCAGTTGTATACGGCCTACGTGGGTCCCGTTGTATTATTACTAACAGGTCCGTTGTGCAAGAACTTGATCTAGGAAAATTTAACTCAAACCCTCCATTACAGTCGTTTGCTACATTTGGCTAACGATCTCCCTATTAAAATTCCGTGCGGTTGCCGGGCTGGCCAGAAAGACGCTTATTGCCCAACTTCTCATCCATATTCGTAAGTAAATTCTCGAATTCCTCGGAATCTATTCAATTTTAAGCCAAGCTCAGCGGGGCCATTTTCTTCATCTACACCGAGCTGCAAGCATTTGTATTCCCTGCACTGCCCGAAGTCGACTTGAAGCTTCTCTGGGTTATTATGTACGTTTTCATTGTCACTGGGAAAACCGTTTTCAGGCAATTCGGAGGCGTGTTCTATGGCCTTAACGCGACCGTGGTGGTATTTGTGTTTTTCCCAGAGGTTTTAACTGCAACCAATTTAATATTGTTGATTTTACTAGACGCGGAAGAGCCTTCGCCGTTGGCTCTGCATCAAACCATCAAAAGACGCTTTCTCGGGCCGTCAGCCCAGCGAATCAGTATCCCGATTGACCGTTTTCTAATTGCTCGAACGACTTAATAATCACGTATACCGTCACCGTACCCGTACCCTCAAATTATTGTTAAAATGGGAGCAATGCCCAAAAGTGCACACCGCAATTTGCGAAAGATGAGGTGTCTGGTAATCGCAGAGAGCACAAGGCCGGAGGCAGCCTTGATGAACTTGTTTTTTGTCTGTCCGAAAAAAATCCGTTTCTGTCATAACGCCTAATTACGCGTGCAGCTTGGGACAAATGTAATTGCCAGTAAACACTAATGTAAGGTGTGTGATCGATGGATTTTTATGTAATTAATCAACGCGTCTCATCTCTTTATTTTTGGTGATCAGCAACAGCAAAAAGAAATCTTCGCATCAATAAGCAGAGTGAAATCATTCGTGTCGCATCTTTTTGTTAGAAGACTTAGGAAAATGTATTTCAAGCTCCAATTAATTTCCGCACTGAATCCAGTAAGAAATTGTGGAAAAATGAAACATGGGTTGAATCCGAAATTATTCCGTTTAACTGGCGGATCTCACCTGGTAGAAACTCAGCTCAAAATAGTCCTTGAAGTCTGGGAGACATACCATTACATGACAAGGTCTTTTCCTCGCGCTCTTTGTTGCTCTTGTTTGGTAAAAAGACTTTCTTCGTTTTCGATATCGTGACCAAAAGTTTGAGGGCGGCTTTGAGAACTTTGCATGCTCAAAATTGGTTCCGGAAATTCACCTGATTTGCATAGAAAGATGCATATAAAAGCATACCATCCACAAAATTCCTCATTCTGCCCATCGACCCGTTGCGATGACTCTGAAGCTACAACTCTTTGCGCTGCTTTCGCTTCTGCTCCTCACCGGGTATTTTTGCGATGTTGCTTTTCAGCTGCTTTTTAGCGTGTGCCATGGTATGCAAGACGCGGCCCCCGAGCAGGAGACGACCACGCTTAGCGGTGGGGGCGAGCCGGCTGAGGGTCGGAATCTGAAGGAGAGCCCGGCGCTCGTCGATCGCGTTCAACCCGCTGCCCAGGTCGCCGACGAGCAGATGAAGCAGTGGGGCGAGCAGTTGGCCCGCGTCTCCTCCGACCACGACAAGCGGCTCCTCGCGCGGCTCATCAACCGGTACGGTTCGCCTTATTCCTCCCTAATTTTTCGAATTTATAATTTAATTTAATTTAATTTACTATTTCAAAAGACGAAAAAGTTAAAAATTGTGCGTTTTTTAGTCATTTTTCATCCCTTTTTCAAGAAAAGGTGAAATTTCTAGAAACGTTTTTGTTTTTAGGTGTTTTTTTAGATACAAAACCTCTGAAAAGCTATAAAAATTATTGATACAGGTTACAGGTAGGTATTGCCGCTCAGAAAAAATTCCGCCACCCCCCCCCCCCGCTAAGAGTTCCGCGTCAATTTTTTCCCTGCAGCGACTCGGGCATCCTCGACCGCGACGGCCTGTACGACCTGGTGATGGACTGGTTCCGCGAGCGCAACATCCAGACCCAGCTCCCCCCATCGCTGCGTCGCGTGCTCATGATCAGGGACAAGTAGGAGTACGGCATCGTGCCAAAATTCCGTTACCTTCCAGGCAACGCCGTCTCCCCCTTGTTCAGCGTCTGATGGAGGTGGCCACCGCGCGTCTTCTGTAAGCACCTTCACGGTTTCGACGAGATGCTTCGTTTAGCACCCCCGCCGCCGCCACGAACACCAACAAGGGCACGCAGGTGTCGTGCGAGTGCGAGAACAAGGACGGCTGCCCCTCGCAGAAGAACGTCCCGAAGAAGGGCGGTGCCATCCCGCCATGCATCGAGAACGGCAAGAAGACGCACGAGCAGGTGTCGTGCGAATGCACGAATTCGAAGTAAGCATCTACGAAGGCTTATCCTCAAAATGCCAAAGACAATATGCCGAAATTCGTCTAAAATTTAGCAAAAAAACATTTTATTTTAGCGGGTGCCCCTCGCAGAAGACGTTCACCTCCAGCCCGGCCCTCGCCTCCGTCCCGCCCTGCAAGGAGAATCGTGTCTCCGGCCCCGCTCCCTACAAGCAGGTCACCTGCGAGTGCGCTTACAAGAGGTCAGCTTCTCCCTGACCACGACGAATCACCGAATTCCAGCGGCTGCAAGTCGCAGCAGGTGATCGTCTCCAGCTACGTGCTCGACGTCGTGCCGCCCTGCAGTGAGAATACTGATGGCCCGGTCCGTTCGTCGAAGATGGCTCTCTCGGGCGGCTCTCCAAACCTGGCAGCGTTCCTCCGTTACTACACGTGCGCATGCCGAGTTCCCACGTCAGTTGCTTTTTGTCAAAATTGCGCCTTTTTGGTATCCTGAGATTATTTTATAATTTTTAGTTTAATAACTAATTATAATTAGTAGTTTTATAATTTAACTTCTACTCTAAAATCTCATGGGGAAGGCGATAAAAATGGTTCAAGTTTTGGGTTCTTTAGGATTCGCGGGGGGAAGTATTCCCGGGGAAACTAATTTTTTCGGCACAAGCCTAGATTTTTTTATAAATTGCGGATGCGTTTCTAAATTGTTTTTAACTATTCCTGAGCATAAAAACTGCACACATTTTAACCAGAAAAAATTAAAAAAAATAAAAATTAGGGCGAAAAATCCTATAGAACCTTTAGGATTCGCGGGGGGGGGGGGAAAGACCCAAAATGACCAAATTTTCGACTTTTTCAAACATTTTTCTAAATTTTTCTGAAAGTTATTCTGCTTTAAATATAGTTAAAACTTACTAAAAACAATTCGAGAACACTTTATATTTGATTACTAGGTCAACCGGGACCACCAGGAAAAATTGGTTCCCCCGGGAATCCCAAAGAACCAAAGCCCGCATAAAGGCGAGAAGACAAGCACTTTTCGGTTTTCATTATAACCAGATTAATTCGTCAATTTTACGACCAAAATCTATGAAAACTGCATACGTGATGCAAAATCCGCATGTTAAAGGTACTCTGCCTAGGAATAGTGTTAGTAGTAAGGTAGAAACGCACAAAAAAATCTCGGCTTGCCCCGAAAAAAAGAAGTTGGTTGCCCCGCGTATCTTAAAGAATTAAACTACTTTTAGGGGTTGTCCCTCGCAGAAAGAACTCGGGCAGCCATTGCTGCCCATTCCCCCATGTGTCGAGAATCGCCCGCACTTTGAGAAGGTGATGCAAGAGTTGAAGGAGGCAATCGACGCCGTGCTGAACCCCTCGCTGGGAGGTGCGCAGTGCAACAATCGATGCATTGACTGTTCTTTTTTAGCGCGTCGCGTCCCCGCGCCGTTGGCCGAGAGGCTGTTCGGGCTCAGCCAGGGTGCCCGCCCGTGGATGAACCTCGGCGAGCACGGTTGGTTTCTTGGCAAAAAAGGGTGCTGGACTGTTATCGGGGGCGGGGGGAAGGACGTGGTAACGTGGCAGTTTTGCACTGTGAACTACATAAAGAAAATAAGTTTTCTTATAGGATTTGACACGATTTCTATACAAGAAAAATCACATAAAATGGATAAAAATTTTGAAAGTTTGCTGAAAATGAGTGTAGGTCATTGAAAATAGTATAAAACCCTTTTAATGGTTTTTATTAACGCCGGAATTGGCATTTTAGGCTACTAAAATGTACTAAAACTTTAGTAGATACGCTTAATGGTTGTAGTATATACGCTTAATGGTGCCTGCGGCACCATTATCTGTCCCGCCCCCCAAGCGGGTCATCCCCTCGATTCCCTAAATGAGAGAGTCGATCGCCAGCTTCTGATTCCCCCCCTTCCCCCCTGACCCCTTCCCTGTCCCTCCTTAAGCTAAGCTAACTCGAAGCCCCACGGGAGACCGGAGGCCCTCTCGGGCCGACGGGATTCCGTCCCCTTTTGATGCTTTATAAATTCTAAGAATCATATTTGTTAGGGTCTGTATCCGCGCCGGCCGACTTCCTTTCTCGGCCTCTATCCCGTCCCCAGTTTTTATATGACAGTTTAAGTTACTCTAATAAACCCCTCATAACAAGTCCCCGGGTAACAAATACACTTTATACATTAAGACCTTCTCATGAGTTTCCCGCTAGTCAAAAGAGTGTCAACGTCACAAATCCGTATCATTAATCATAGTTCGTATCTGGGACATTTCATAGAACAACCTATGGCGGAGCCAGTTAAGTTAGGATTAGGGTTCCTAACTAGAAGAGTAGTAACAGCCCCAACATGGGAAGATCGTAACTGGTGTGTGTCTCTGGCATAGAGCCAGACCCACTCAGTTATGACAAAACTACTAATATAACTGCGACAGAACCTGTCCAAAATTCAAAAAGGACGTAAAGAGTAGCTGTCTTTGCAGCTCGTGAAAAGTTTTTCGCCGCAAAGGCCGAGGAGGCGCTCGGCGATTTGTCGTACGAGGAGCTGATCCAGGAGTTTTACCAGCGCAAACTCGCCCTGTGGAACAAACTGAAGGAGGCGTTCGAGCTGTTGGGCGGCGAGGAGGGCAAACAAGAATTGTTGCTGCAGCAGCTTGCAGGTGGGTATTCATCGTATGTGTCAGCATCAGCGGAAGCATATGCCTACGCCTCAGCCTTTTCAGCCAACCAGGTCCTTCAAGCCAAGATGGGGCACAAGTTGTCGAGCATCGTGCGCGAGGGCAGGGTGCAGTCGATGGATGGTGGGGAGGCATTGGACGACGAGATTTTGATTCATAGACGCCTTCTTCGCCGCCGACGAGATCGTGAGCTCGGTCGTCGGGCAGCTCGCGTAGATGGTTGGCCCACGTCGACATGGTGCGTCGGGACTTCTACTGAAGACTCGACTACATCCGCACCGAGCTACCTAGGAACGCCCGGGACGCCTCCCGACTCTAGCACCCTGCCCCCTATCCCGCATTCCCCCGCTATCTCGTATGCACTGTGTGCTTGGCCCCTCTCTATGTTTTGTAGGTCCCCCTCTATCCATGACATGGGTTTTTCGGGCTTTTTGCCGTACCCGCGGTCGTGTCGTATGGGATAAATGTTTTGGGTGTGGGTGGACAGTACAGTACGGTACAATACACGAGACGGAGAAGGAAAGGAGCAAGAGAGCTAGATGGAAAGGGAGAGAGAGAGAGAGAGAGAGAGAGAGAGAGAGAGAGAGAGAAGTGCGAAGAAAGCCAGAGCGCGAAGTGCTTTCACTGTGAGAGAAATGGATGATGGAGATCGTAAAGAGAGACAATGACGGGGGACAAAGAGAGAGAGAGAGAGAGAGAGAGAGAGACAGAGAGACAGAGAGAGAGGGAGAGAGAGGGAGAAAACTCTGTGTTAGCCTACAAATTACAACTTTGCCATAAGTTTATTAAATCCTGCTGGTTAGAGTCGAGAATTTAGAATGGCGGTGGCATGCCCGGGTTGCACTCCGGATCGTTGCGGATGATCGGACCATCGCAGCCCTAAAAAAGCCACGCCTTTTTTTAGATCGACAATCACAATCCAAGCTCCTAGAGCAATAGTTTCTACGAACTCACCGCTTGCGCCAATTCCGGCATCGACAAGAATGCGAAAACGTACAGCAGAAAGCCGAGTTTGGCGAGCATTTTGAAGTGAATACCCGACAACTAGCACCGCTTTTAAAGGCAAGGGGAACCGATTTCTGCTGAATTTTCATGACGAAGATTCTTCGGATTCTTCAGAGATTTGTGTCCCAGGCGACAGACAGTTCATTGAAATTTCAAATTTGAGAAGCGGGGGGCGGTGGGGATTTTGACATCGTCCATTGAGAATTCTACTGGATACGTACAGCTACCAAAAAGACCAACGAAAAGCCTCTTTCGTTCCGATATAAAACTTTTTAAATGGACCGGAGAGTCAAATACTGTGCTCGAAATTTACTACTCAGACTCTTTAAAGGGGCTACGAAATGCCAAAAATTGAGTGACGGCCCGAAAATCGAAGACCTGTACGTCGGAGGCCTCTGTACACCTAGGGGCGCGGGAAGCTCGCAAATTTGAAATTGCCTGTTGTCACCTCGAAATCACGTTCTCGGCTGTTTCTGGGCCAAATTTGATGCTTAAAACACCAAAACTATTTAAAATTGAGTGAGGATTTCAAAAATGGCCTCAGAATGCGCAAATTATAGTGTTTTCACAAAGAAACCGGGCAAAAATAACTTTGCGCAAAAATCGAAAGAGTGAGGGCTCTCGTCCCGCAGCGCCCGCTGGCAATTTGCCAAAAATCAAAGAGGCCTCACAAAAGGGCTTTGATTTGGCAGTTCGGAGCCCCTTTAAGAACATAGCGCACAGAAGGAAACGATTCGCCTGGGTTATAAAAGGGCGAACAACAGCTTGCAAGTCTGCTCTAATACTACCACCCTGCTATTAGGATAAGCCAGGGAGAGCGAGAGAGAGAGAGAGAGAGAGAGAGAGAGAGAGAACGATCCCTACGCCAGATAAAACGCACAAACGGAACAAATGGATTAATTTGCTATGAGACATTCGTGCGCCTCTCGCGTCTTGCTGTGAGTTTTTCAACACCGATTCACGAAGATTAATAGAAATAGCCAATACTAAAAATGTCGGGTTTGACATTAAAAATGCATTTAGTTAGTAAATAATAATATTTATTCGTTTTGCCCGCTTCTGCGAGGCGGTGCAATCACTCGTCGCCTGCTGACTTTTGTCCCATACGCGGCTAAAAATACGTTTACGTTGAAAAAACTTTAGAAAGGTGGCACGTATTTTTTTGATCTCCTTTACCTTGCTTTGACATAGTTTTAAATACAATGTTAAATGTTAGCGCATTCCGAAAAGTCGCTAGTTTTCGGAAAAGCTACGATCGGCAGGGGCTACTGTAACCAGGTGCAAGTGGAAAAACCTACCTTGCGACAGGTCCATCTGCCGAATTCAGTGCACACGCAAGCTCCACCGTCAAAACAACCCGCTATTCCACAAGGCTCACCCGTGCATTTCCGGGGAAGTGTCTGAGGCAGCCGGATTGCTTCGGCCTGCCATTTTTTAAACATTTTTTTGATGGGACAAATTATGTGATCTTCCAATCGTCACACACGGTAAAATTTGTTAAACTCGTTACCGGGTTTGGCATTGCAATCAGTCCAAGAAGGCAGAGCAGCAAAGCCAGCTTCGTCAACATTGCGAATGAAAAAGCTGGGAAAAACTGCATCGCTTTTGTATGACCGGAAATCCTGTAAGCAGCGGATCGCTTATTATCGATTTTCTTTTGCAACGGCGACCTGTTGCTCCAGGTCAATTTTTTGTAAATGGCTGGAGGTTTTTGGAAGCTAAAATTCGGTTTGATTGAGCTGAAATACGAATACAGCAGAAAAATCGCGAAAATGCTTAAAAAAATTGATCCTGTCTCGAATTCCTCTTGTGGTGAACAACCTCTTTGTTATTTCTCTGAACGCTTCTGCAATTCCCCTTAAAACCATCGAACGTACACCGAAATGCTGCGCCCGGTTTTCATAATAGTGAAAAGCCACTTGTGAAGCCGGGTGGGGAAGGATTTCCATAAATTAAGCTGAGCCAAAAACAGCGCAACAGGGTTTTTTGTTCATACAGTCTGCGTTTCCCCGTAATGCACTTGGGCTTCAAAGCCTATCTCTTCAGCTTCTGTTGCCTTGTTGTGGCTGAGGTTTTGGAATACGACGAAGTCCCAGCGGCAGGATTGGTTAGTTTTACTTATTAGAGTTTAGGTAGAGCGACTGAGCGAGAGAGAGAGAGAGAGAGAGAGAGAGAGAGAGCGAGAGAGAAAGAGAGAGCGAGAGAGAGCCGCGTGCTAATACAGGGTGTCCCAATAAAAAAGGTCACGCTGGCATTTTGCTATTTCAAATCCGACCGACTTGAAATTTTGCACAGAGGTGCGGAAGGGAATTTAAAATGTTCACAGAAACTTTCAGCCCGATCGGTACAGTAGTTTTCGAGTTATTGTAAAAATACTGTTTTTCCCGCACCTTAGCTTCATTTTTTCGGCTATCTTTTTGGACTTTGCATCAATCTGTGCAAAATTTCAAGTGGATCGGATTTGAAATAGCAAAATGCCAGCGTGACCTTTTTTATTGGGACACCCTGTATATAGAATTTCCAGTAGATTCCCGCGTATCATATCATAAAGTTTTAGTGCGTCGTTCAGCCCTGCTCTTACGGATATGCTTGTTCAAGTTTAGCGCCAAACGGCTACCAATGCATTCCCGATCGGGTACATTTTCAATTTTACCCCAGGCCCGCGTCAAGGCTTCACTTTGCATGGTTCCACCGGCCTCCCACGAATAAAAAATTAAAAGCATTCGCCCTCCCCCCTTTAATTTTTTACATACAGTGGGATTTTACGCGTTTTACGTGAACGTTTAGCAAATCATCTACCCGTACGATCGCTGTAACGCCCAAAACGCAGCCGAAGCTTGCCAAGCCGGATATTTTTGCTGCGAGGGCATTTGTGCCAGGCTTGGGACGGCGCCTCAGGATTGTCACGGATTTTCCGTCTTGCGATTTTTGAAATCGAGAGACCAAAAATAAAGAGTTAATTGCTGTTGGGTCCAGATGTTTTATAAAAAAAATACCTCTTTTCAAATTGTCATTAAAATGAGCCTTACCGCCCCGGTCCAACGACCAGATTCGGTCTTCGACCGGCTTCTCGGTTCAACTTCCATCCAAAGCAGTGGAGATTTTGAAGCTGAATTTTGGCTTCATTCAACTGATTTGTTTTGGACTGAATTGGACTTTTTTTGTGAAGAACAGCTAACTGTCAGTGCGCGATTAAAAATATAGGATTCGAAAGTGCTGTGAATATAATTTATCAAAATCTGGGAATCCATTTTTTTCTCGCGCAACAATCAGTCGATGCCGTCTGCTTGGCGGCCGATGCGGGGCTGAAAGTTCATCGTGTCCCGAATTGCTTCAACTGTAATTACTGACCTCTTTTGCCTTTTAAAAAAGAAAAAAACCATGTAATGGTCTATCACGCCGGTAACTTTCTCTTTTTCCGAAATGCTTTATTAGCCATACCTACCCCGCTGCAGTACCAATCGCCAGTTTCGGAGCACAGGCAGGTTCCTCGACCAGGACAGCCGATTTTCCCACAAGCCTCACCACGACATTCCCGGCGAGGCTTAAATTATTATCGTAGTAGTATCGTATTATGGAAGCAATGATATTTTCGGGCTGCCGGGGTTTTGCAGGGTATCTTTTCCCACCGGGCATGATACCAAATTTTGAATTATGGACACCATCCCGAAAAGACACCATCCCGAAAGGCACCACCCCGAAAAATTTGCATGCGAAAACTTCATTAGCATGGAAAAATAGCTCCTTTTTCTATAGTAGAGCTGACTTTTCGCATGCAAATTTTTCGGGATGGTGTCTTTCGGGATGGTGTCTTTTCGGGATGGTGTCCATCTACCCAAATTTTTCAAAACACTAATTCTACCTGTAGCAATTATTTTGCTGAAGATACAACAGATTTTCGCAAATTAGACGGTGACGAAAATTTTGCTAACCTTAAAGCCTCATAGGCTATTTTATTGGCCTCTTGGCCGTGTTACAAGGTGGGCAGCAGGGGCGACTAGTATATGGTCCCAAAAAAATAGACACCCTCCAACCTCACCGAAAGCTACCGGATCGGACTGAAAGTAATACCATTCGAAAGCCCTTTTCAGCCTGTTCATAACCGTGTTTTCTTTTTTTACGTGTGTGTTGGAACGCACTGAAAACGTTCAGGAACGACCGCATCATCTGATTAACGGCTAATTCCTGCATTTTTTGAAGGAATTGAGGCAAATTAACTCGCATGCAAGCCGGTAACCCCGGAAAACGTATACAATTACTTGTGACACTCGCTTAAATACAGGGTGTCCCAATAAAAAAATCCTGTAACTCGACGCAAAATTATCGGATCGAATCGGCCCTTGAAATGGCGAGTTTGCAACAATTTAGAAAACTACGCTGAAATGCCTCGGACCCACCTCAACTGGCAAGCATATGCCCGAGCCGCCTAAAGCATCCAAGCATTGGCATCTTTTCCCGCGCGGACAACCCTCCCATCCGCACGCTTCGGTCTTCCTGCAATTCCCGGGCTGCAAACACATATATAGACCCCTTTTTGATAACTACCAGCCGCCCAGCCGAAATCGAGACCACCACGAAGGCAAGAAGGCACAGTTGGAAAGACAGCTTCAACAGCATCTCAAATCAGCGCCGCGTCTGCACTAGCCGCTTTTATGTGAAGCCAAGAAATTTATGCACGGCCACAAATGTACGCAGGGGGCTTCCCGATTATAGATCTTATTTTTTTGGAGAAATACGTTTCTATGCCAATATGCAAATCGCGATGGTTTTTGGCAGCTGAACTGCGGTTTGTTGCTGGAATTTTGACGGGCTGAAATTAACGCAACATCGTTCAGTCGACCAGTTTTTTTCCCGTTTCCGAATGCGGCTTCATTTTTTCTCTTGCCATATTTTCATGAAAATTGTTTTGTGAAAATGTTTCCAAAAGCATGAAATTCGTATAGTGGGATGAAAATTATTGCAAACCAGATGACATAAAAAATCTCATTTTGCAAAAAAACCATAGCACAGTGGAAGGGTTTTGTAGCGTTTAGACATTTTTTGTAAGCGTGACGTATCCTAAGCGGAAGTCGAAAGCCTAAGCCTCCGCTTTAACCTCAGCCTCAGCCGAAACCTACTAAGCCTAAGCCTAACAAGGGGATGGTCTCAGCTCGGAATCGAATTTCGGTTTGAAAATTTGCACACTTATAGAGCTCGACGAGACAAATCGATTGGTGTAAATTTCAGCAGCAGATACCCCGAACGAACAAAGTTATAAGCATTTTTAGTTTTTGCATACATTTTGCAGAGTATTCGCCCTACCTTCATAAGCCCTCCCCCTTCCCCCATCAGCATGGTCTGGTGGTCTAGTGGCGTCGTCTCGTCTCGTCTCGTCTCGTCGAGCTCTATAAGTGTGCAAATTTTCAAACCGAAATTCGATTCCGAGCTGAGACCATCCCCTTGTAAGCCTGCGGCGGATGGGCTTCGGCGTCGACGTGAACTCTTCGAAAGCTCGTGCAAAGCAAAGAAATCTGCATAGCCAGCCATTTATTCAGTTTCCGATTATCCTAGGTGCGAGTCTAGCGTAAGGCACGTCCACGTCCCACTGTCGCATTTGCACATCTTGCCAGCTCTACAACCGGCCCACCCCACACTGTTCTCCGCCGCATTTTGGCTAAACCCGCATGAAAATTCTTTGCAAATCCCCAGTGAATTTTTACCAAAGAAAATATATTGCCTTGCTCGTCCCTTTCAGGAATTTTCAACATTCGCCTTAATTCTTCAGGGAGGCATTCCCAACGCCCGTCAATGCACGTGCATTTTCCGTCGGTGCAACCGGCATATCCGCACGGTTCGCCGGTGCATTCCTTCTGAAAATACATTGTATGATTTTACCTGTAGTTAACGGAGATACCTGGGCTGTAAAGCGATCATGGATCAGGAGGCATATATCGTGTTCGTTTTCAGGTCGAGTTGTTCATCTACTGGTGCATTTGCTACCATAATGGCGAAAATGGCCCTGAAAAATTCCCTCGAGTTGCGTTTTTAAGTCAAGGTTCAAACTAGCATCATTTCTACCTTCGTTTTAACCAGTTTTTGGAAGCAAGCGATGGACCTGGCCAGCCGAAACCTAAGATCGGGACCGTGACGAACCAGAGAACGTACAGTAGACCAACCACCTTTCCGAACATTTTTTTTTGATGAAAAACATTATGGTCGGGAAAAGTTTTATAGATGCCAAAAAATTTCTGAAGCAGCGAAAGGGTTTATCATTGATTTTCGATTGGCAGCGCCCGGGTTTTTCTTGGCATCAGGCTTTCGGCGCTACAAAATCGTACTTTTTTGGAAATTTCATTGGTTTTTGCAAAAGAAAATTTTGAATTTTTACAATGTTTGGCGCAATTCCGAAAAATGTAAATGATGTTGATGGGCTAATTAATCAATTTATTCCGTTTCGCCGCTGGTTAGCGCCAAGGCGCCGGCCAACCGGGGTGGCATTCCTCGTTTTCCCGAATGCAAACACCCCCGCAATCCTGTAGCCCACGGAGGAAGCAGAATGTTTGACGACGTATGCGGGGCTGAAAAGGACTTGAGTCTTTCCGACAAACTACGAAATGATCCCGATGATGAAGGACGATCAGCGGCCTAACACGTAAAAAAGATTAGCTAACTTTAAGCAACCTACCGGTTCAGATTCAGCGCAAAAACTTGGAAACACAAGGAACGAGAAAAGGTACAGTAGGAATATGATCTTGCCCAACATTTTGCGAGGGTCGCAACAGCTTTCGGCTGGTTTTCGGCTGGCTTGGCCGGGCAGGGCTTGAGATCAGTTGCGGTCCGTATTCAGATGCGCTTTGAAGAAAGCCGACGCTCCCGGATCGCAAAATCCTTTGAACTTCAAAGGCAGAAAGCAAGCCTGAATTCTATTACAACCGACGTGCCAAATATTATTGAAAATAAATACACCTAGGTTGTTATAATTCCTACAGCTTGACTGAAAACGCGATCAGCAACGGTTCAAGTGTTCTTCAGCGGAATGGTGTAGCCGGGCAAACTTCGCCAGGCCGAATTCATACGCTCCAACATTTTCCGCCTTCAAATTTTTAAATTGACGCTTGAAATTCAGAAATTCCTTTTCCAACCCCGTCTCGCATTCGCCCCTGCAATAAAAAAAGCCCGCAAATACATCGAGATTCAGCCAAAACAGCGCGCTGGCGATGACGCGCCGCTTATGGGCGAAATGGGGCGGGGGCGAATTCGGAAACGTCGAATTCCAATCGTCAAGTGTTGGTTTGTATAAAACCGGAGTTGCCAGGCGAAACAGCACTTTCTACGCCTCGAAAGCTTACCCGGAGATGCTGGCAAAACTTCTTGTATTCCTTCTTCTGACCTTGAACTTGGCACATGGCCAAATCACCAAGGATCCGAGGGTATAAAAGTTGTCTTACTTTAATGTAAATTATTTAGTGCTTCGAAAAATGCGGCGAGGGCGAGTCTTGTATGAAGATGTGGGACGGCTCCTATCTTTGTCAGGATGACCCGGTAGTGTAAAAAAACGGCGTTTTTCAGTCTTGATACCACAATTTAGTGCATTTTAAAAAATGTATTATTCCTTAATTCGTTAAATTTTGTAATTTTTTTTTATTGGTTCAGCTACTTCCTGGCCCGCATCACCTCCTCGAAAAATTGGTCAAGCCGCCGAGCGGGGTTAAAGAAGAAGCTCGGAGGCGTTGAATGGGCGGAGTACCGTCACGTACATTCGGAAAATTACCGACTACTACTGTAACGCATAAAATTTAACGTTTATGTTCTGAATAAATTGTACAAACTATTTCAAAGATACTTCAAAGACTATCGCTCGGTTTTTCGTTTCGTCCAAGAGATTTCTGTGCTTCAAAGATTGATCAAAACGCAACAGATATCACCAAAAACATCCTCAAAAAATGCAAAATACTGAAAAATTCGTGATCTTTGTTTCCCCTCAAAAAAATCAAAAAATGTGTTTCCCTTGCATCCTTTGCCTAAAAATTTCCCACATCAACCCGAATTTCTCACATCAGATCTTTTGATTTATATAATTTTTAATTTATGATTTCTAAATCTATAAAAACCAGAACCTCGGACGCAATCTTTGAGCAGTCATGTTGTTGATCTTGCTGCTTTGCCTCGCCGCCGTGGCTGTTGAAGCTCAAGGAGATGATGATATAGTAAGTTCTTTGAGTTAGCGACACGGCATTAACAAAGCAAAAAATTAATTTCTTGTTGTAAAAAAAAACATTAAAAAACGCTATTGGCGATAAAAATCCTACTATATATAAAAAATAGGGTCTGTGTGTGTGTGTGTTTGTGTGTGTGTGCCACTTTGCATCCACTTCCGTCTGTCTGTCCGGAGGATATCTCAAGAAGGGGCGGGTATTAGGCTACGTATGATACGTCATTAGGTGCGCAATGGTCTAGGGATGACTGCACACATATCAGATTTTTAAAAATTAGCCATTTTCGCTATTAAATTTAGGTTTTTGTAAAAACCTCTTTGTTAGGAATCATTAGCATAGAGCGGAAGTGGGTGGTCGCCTATATAAAGAGGCAGAAACAGTTGTTTTTCATTTTTTTTGTCTTCTGAATGAAGGACAATTATGCAAAGGGCCGAATAGTATGGGGTCCGAGACGGGGCCAGGGTTGAAAAGTCGCGAAGCGGCTTTTCAACCCTGGTGTATACCTAAACGTTTTGTTTTAGTGCGCTATCTGTACCCGGTCAGGGAGCGAATGCATCGAGCCGGATGGTCGGACTCCGTACTGTGGCGGGCCTCTCTGGCCACAGGACAGGAAGGTATTTTGGGTGATTTGCTTGCAAGTAAATTCAGAAGCGGAACGCGCTGATCAAGCCACCGGTACGTTGTGTTCTTCCGAATGTCAGATGTCACGATACCTGCATCCGGATCCATTCGCCGTGTCCGCGTGGCTGATCCGTGCTGACCGCAAAGGGGAATAAAATTGCTTAACATTTCTGGGAAAAGTAGTAATGTTATTTTTTCAAGCAGTTCTCGAGATCGCTTACACAATTTTATCCTACGGATACGTCTAGGCATAAGCATAAGCCTAAATAGACGCGTTGCGGTAGGTTTTGACAACTACGCGATGCTCCAAAGCTAATCCGAATCCATGTTTTCCTTGTTTTATAGGGCTTTCTGGTGTGATCCGTAGCCACCGTAAGCCATCCGACATCGATTTTAGCAAGTTTCGTTCAAACTTCACAAGTTTATTTAATAGATCTGGTCTTCATCGGAACGGAAAGGCCGGGCAAACGACGTCTGGCTTGATGCAGACACCCCAGCAGTCACGGTACCCGTCCCAGACGCACAGCGTTTGGCGGCGGAGCCGAGCCTGGACATAAGACAGTGGATCCAATCTCGAAATCACCATCACCAAAGCCGCCGGTTTCAGGACGTAGTTTGCCCAAAAAAGGCAACACTTACATCTCTCAGTCTCAGGGGCGCTGGTGGGGCCCGAAAGGAAAGAGCCGAATATGTGTCGAAGCATGCCAGAAATAGCAGAAAAAACAGCGTGAGCAGCATTTGGAAAACCCACTCACCGGACTGGGCTGACTTTTTAGAAAATCTCCTTTCTCTTTTCCATGAATTTAGATCAGAAGCGGAGGTCTCAGAAGTTCTAACAGACGCCTCTCGGCTTTTCCTTTGATCTAACAGCCATCATCTTTTCAAAAAATGGGTCTAATCGTCGAGTGGAGCTAACGAAGAAGCCCGAAAACGCTGAAGAGCTGCAGAAGTACTCAAAAATCAACTCTTTCGAAAAATCAAAAATTATTGTAAGATCTGAGTCTCACCATCTTTCAAGCGATAAATTGTACAAATTCTCCCGATCATTGATGCTTAGAACTCAGTTGGCTATCGATTCCTGCTTTGACCCTGACAATTCAGCGTGGCTGATTTTTTTTCCATGGTCCGGAAATTCCCGCTCGTTTCTCACAGCACGGCAAAATATTTTTCGTTTTATAGCCGTCTGGCGCGGCTTGCCAGCTTTATATGCATGTTGATTTATCTTTTGCCGATTTATAAAAACCACCGCACTTTGAAATTCCAGCTTGGCGTGATGTTCTTAGTTTTCATGCTTTGCCTGATCCTCGCTGCAGCCGAAACTCGTAAAGATGAGTACATTGTAAGCTCCTAGCATTTGAATTTTGATTGCTCGTTTTCACACGAATTTTGACGTATTAGTTACATGATTAAGCAGCGTGATAACCGTTTTTCCTCCAGTGCTCACTATGCACCGGGTCGGGGAGGCAGTGCGTCTTAGAAAATGGTCAAACGTCCTGCGGTGAGCCACTTCTGAGCAGGAAGGTGTCATAAGATGAATTTGCCTAAAAAACTTGGAGGATCTAGAAGCGGAACGCACTGATCAGACCGCCGGTGCGGTGCGTGCTGCCAAACGTTAGGTGTCACGATACCTGCATCCGGATCCACCCTCCGTGTCCGCGTGGCTGATCGCTTACGATCAAAATGTGGAATAAAGGATCAAAATAGGTCGCAAAAAATGCCCAGTTCAAAATGGCAATGCGATTTTGTAAGGGACGCAGACATGCTAATCATATGTCGACGCCAAAATAGAAGATAATCTAATTCAGACTTTGGCGTAGGCTCAGGCTTAAGCTTAGAGTTCAATTTGGGTTTAGGCTTAGGCTTAGGTCGACTGAGGTGGGCTTACAAGCTTACCTTGTGAGCTTTTTAAACAAACAGTTTTGCATCTTTTTTTCCTTGCCTTAATTTGATCTTTGACCTTAGCGTATAACCTTTGAACGTTACTTTTTCTTTTTTGCATTAAAGCATAAAGGTACTTGATTTCCGTATTTTAACCGTCGATAGGAACCCGTCCGGTGGAATAAAGCTTTCTACACAGCAGGTGTAGTTTCTACCAGCTTCTTTGATCTTTGTTCCTGTTTTTGCGATGTTTTGCGTGAATTAAATGCGTACTAGGAAGAGCCAGGTCCCTACAAAAATACACGATTCGACGCCAAAACTTTTGCGTATTTACCTGTGCTTATAGAATTTACCCTCGACTATTTTTCGACGAGAAATTAAGTTTTTACAGCTGGTTAACTAGATACCTCCAAAAACAAAAAAAAACAATACCCTTTTATGCAAAACGGCGTAAAGTCCGAAAATCCACCCGATAACGATATCGGCTGACGACTTCCTGTTTTATGCATATTCCATTCTTTTGCCTCGAACTTTGGTCCCGTTGCATAAAACTAATGCATAAAACTTCATGGCTTTTCAATATTGATGCTTTTGCGCCTCACCCTCTGCACCGTACATCCGTATAAAAGGGAAACAACGATAAATTCCTGAAAAATGATGATATTCTGGCTTCTTATCGCCTTTTTGGTTGTCGATATTTATCCGCGACAATTTGGAAAGGTAGCGTTTTCGAGAGATCTTTGAAGAAGCTTTTAAAAGAAGCTTGGCGGAGGCTTGGGAATTTATTCATAATCGCGACGACCCGAACGGGACAGTCAAAATCCCGAAAAAGTTAAAACCCCGATAGCCAAAATGCCGACAGTCAAAATCTCGGCGTAGTTTTGACGCGACGGACATGATCTGGATGCCACTTGCTTTTATACGGCCATTTTGCTTGTCGAAATTTGTCTGGGAGAATTTTGGTGTCTGCATTTTGGCTGTCGATATTTCGGATGTCGGGGTTTGCATCTAGGGATTCCGGCTGTCGGTATTTTTACGTTTTTCAAGGCGTTGCAAGGCTTCCTCTTCACCCAGCGATGACTTTCAGTGCCCAGAATGCGACGGTCCAGACCAACGCTGCGTCCGTGAGGGCGTGAACAGGTGGTGCGTGGGTACGCTGTTGACGCGGCAGGTCTGCAAGAATTTCGAAACTGAAACGAATATTAGAAGCGAAATGGTATGTCTCAGTCGTGCGGATCAGCATTGTGGAAGTGGTGCAATGGCCGCTGTATACCTTCGTACCGATCGTGTTCCGGATAAAATGTTAAAATCGTTTTTATTCCAGGTTATAAATTTTCGTTGGGGCGGTGGGGCATTAAACTGAGATACAGACAATTTTGTGACTGTAATTATTTGAGTGGTATTATTAATCAATTTTATTATGTATTAGAATGGATGAAATTATATAGATATTGGGTTTTCAATGGGCATTAGAAATTGTAAACGTTATGAATCGCCAATTTATAAAATTTTGACATTACGAATTTCCAATGCATCGTAAAAATGATATCTCAAATCTGTTCAAAATCCGACCGTTTCGATCAAGCATAATCCAACCTGATCGAAAATCGATATTTTTTCAGATTCTATAACAAAAATTTGTAAAGTTTTTACGCTCAGTAGTAGCAATCCCCTGTAGTGAAAAATCATTACCAGAAAACTGCGACAGAACCGAGTTCTTTACCAGAGATCCGAAAAGAATGTTGGGTGCTAATTTTAGGGGGCCCCCGTTTGCGGAGTGCTCGAATTGACTTATGAATGGCGCGCGAAGCGAACACGCCGACAACCAAGAAAACATGTTATTTTCGGGTTGACCTAAGTACGACGTTTCCAAGGCTTACCAGTCGACCTATGTTGAATGGGATCCCCGAAATCGTCTCGATACCTGATTTTTCAGGTCAAAACACAGGTCAGCAAGTTACAGGCTGGAGGCCAGCATCTTAATTGAATAACGTTGTATTTGTATTGTAAAGCTAGGGTAAGCTAGCCGAGAGCATTTGGGAACGTGTTTAACCTCTATTAATCGCTGCTACTTCATTGCTTTCTCTGTATTCTCGGCTATCACATCTTCTCATTGAGTACATCAAAAATATTTTGTTCACAATTTGCCACTCCCTCAATTAAACGTTGAACGCGATATTCACTTCCATTTTCACTCTATTTGCCAAATTGCGCGCGTACCTCGACAAAGTCCGCTAATTAGGTGTCTCCAGAGAATTGGCGAGCAAATCTTCGAAAAACACTGCAATGAGGGGCCGCATAATTGAACGTTTCGTGGCCTGCACCCCAGAATTACTCAATGACCACGGAGACTTGGGTTGCCTTTACGAAACGGCGGGAAGCAGTTCCGGTGGCGCCGAATCCGGTTAATTTGATTAACCTTTAGCCCGGGCATTACGCGTTTGGCAAAGGTTGCTTTTCGTTAGCTAAAACTGATTAGCGCGATGGTGTTCTGGACAATAAATTAGATCCGGAATAACCTATAGGAAGTTCGTATGGAAAAAGCAGTCCGGAAAGCGTTGAAAACGAGCTCTGTCAGTCCTCACAGCTTTTTAAGAATTGGACAAAAGCTCTCTGAAAAATGTGGTTTCCGGATCATAGCGCAATATAACTCTTTAGACATCATGAATTACCTATACCTCATCTGCTGCATATTCTTGGACATTCTGATGGTATTAACAATACCGCTATATGTGGCCATTCTTTCTGCTACTCGAAAAATCGACTCGAAGGAAACCGGAAAAACCTTCTTGATATGCCTTCGGAATTTGAGTAAGTAAATTTTTCCCGAAATTAATTGCACAAAGTGGTGAGACAACCTAAATTTTTTAAAGTTATGTTTGGCTTTAAATGTCATTTTCAAGGTATCTGCCTCCTAGTCCATTCCATCGTCACATTTTGCATCACCGAGCCGGCGAACCTCGGGCTTTTTCCGGAATTTTTCTTCGCCAATGCTTACTGGATTGGGAAAATAGCTTATGTGGGTATCTTTGGATTTAAGTTACTATATTTCCGGATATTTCAAGAGCTAGCATCATTTTTTAATAAATAAAACTAATTTTTAGGTCAGCGAAATTGGGTTCTTGCTCCAATCCACTTTGTGGCTGTTTGTGCTCACCGTTACCCGACTTGTTGTAATTAAGAACATTACGGTTGTCGATAAGGCCAGTTTTAAAGGGCCCGGCAAGGCAAAACACATGAATTGCAGGAAGCCCCCTGGCTGGAGACGTTCAGCAAACTCGTCTGGGTATTCTATCTCCTTTCGTGCATTCCAATAATCTACCCAATCGACACAGCTGCATCTTATACGATTGACGAATCGTTTGCGTATCAATTGAGACTCTCGGTTGCTGCTTCGCCGCTAAGGTTATATTATAATGTTCTTACAATGGCTCCGAATGGGTTAGCAGCTATTAACGTGCTCATTTACGCGTATATTTTGACGCGGTTGCCGGCGTTGCTCAGAGAACAGGTTTGGCGCTTGTTAAAGGTTTTTTCAAGAGTATTCAAAGCGAGTTTCAATTGCTCACGAGCAGGCCTGTGAGGGGGGGCAGGGGGCCCTGGGCCCCCCGAAATCGGTCGAGGTCTGAAAAATTCTTAAGGGGGGACCCTTATGATTTTTAATTACAAAGATTTTTCTGCCTGCGGCGCTGTTTATTACTGTTTTCAAACAGTTTTTACTTATATGAAGCCATTTTTTCAATTTCCTGATACGTTTAAAATCCGTTTTTAGAGCCAACGAAATCGCCGAATCTACAAAGCCACAATTGCTTCAATGCTATCATGCACCGGTAAGATGGTATCAATGCCATTGACGAATCCCTGAGAATTTAGGCTCGATCGTAGCTGGCATTGCCGCCTGCCTCCAACTACTACCCTGGTTTCTTTGGCAAGGAAAAATCTGGCCCGTCTGGTGCTTCTACTTTTTCTTCAAAATCGGGTCAGACCTCCACTTCATCGGCCTCGCCTGGGTTACTTTCTTCATGTTCAAGAAGGTCAGCAACCTTAATTTTTAGCAAAGGAATTCCTCCAGATTCGTGGCGAAATGCTGGCCTTCCTTCACCTGGCCGACCCTACCTCAAACAACATGAAAATCGGTGTCATTTTGCTATCTCGACCGCAAGATTCCAGTAGTAACTCGTCATAAAGTTTCTGACATCTCCTTTTTGCTCAAACCTTCTGAGGTTGTTGGGTCTAGTTCCCCGAAAAGGCATAGAACCTCGACGCCGAACTCACAAATGGATCGAGGGGAGTCAACATTTATGCACATTCATCCATTCTTATTTTAATGTTTCTAAATGAAAAATAACCAGGGTTGAAAAGCCGCTTCGCGACTTTTCAACCCTGGGGCCGTTTGGACAAATTAAATTGGAAAGTTTGCATTATTCCGCCTCAACCAAGCTGACAAAACTGCAACGATTTCCTTCCAACCCAATATAGGCACCCTGTATAGGCTTCGTCTACTTCCCGTTTAGGCTAATTGTTTCCTAACAAAGAGGGTTCCCGAAAATTTTAGAAACACTTAATCTTAATATCGAAAATAACTTATTTTGATAATTCTGAGAAGTGTGTAGTCATCACAGAGCCATTACGCACCTAATGATGTATTATACGCACCCCAAAATTCAGCGTCTATTGAGTTATTATCCTCCGGCCATAGAGACGGAAGTTGCATGCAAATCCACACACACACGGACACTATTTTTTTGAGTAGGATACGGTGCGGTAGAGCTCAATGGTGGCGATTTCGCGCGACAAAGCCTCCCTTCCGCTTCTTCGATGCAGGGTTTCAAACGAAAAGCTGTTAAGGAATATGCCAGCAAAAAATATTAGCAATTATTTGGTTTTTCCACCAAATACGCGCAGAATATGATTTGAACTTTCCTACCCCGTTAAATGCAATGTGCGAAATTTTTGAAAAAACAAATTATAGGCCTGAAAGTGGCACGTTGCTAGGGTTTCAACCTGAAATTATTCGCGGGGAAACCACTTAAAATCAAAGTCAAAAGCTCGCACCTAGCCCCTCTTCTAGTGTAGAATTTGTCGCTGATTCCGAGGCTATTTTCAAAAAATTCTAAATAGTTACTCTGGTTCTGATTTAGCTTTGCTTTAGCGATGTACCTTCTATATCTCATTTGCTCTATACTTCTCGACATCGTGATGTTATTGACAATTCCCCTATACGTTGCCATTCTTTACGCTACACGGAAAATTGATGCTAACGAAACGGGGAAGACATTTTTGATTTGTCTGCGAAATTTGAGTAAGTAAAAACTATAAACTGCCAATGACGAACGCTAATAAAACGTTACATTTCTAAGGTATCTGTCTATTGGTCCATTCAATGGCCGCATTTTTCATCAATGAGCCGGCGAATCTTGGACTATTTTCGGAGTTTTTCTTTGCGAATGCTAACTGGATCGGGAAAATCGCCTATGTAAATATTTTCGAAAAGCTTTGAATTTCTGCAAGGGAGACCCTGTTTTTAAAACAAACAAGTTTCGTGGTTAAGATCAGTGAAATCGGGTTCCTAATCCAATCGACTTTCTGGTTGTGCGTACTTACCGTAACAAGATTGCTAGTTATTAGGAACATTACGGTGGTGGCTAAGGTGCGATGTGACGGTGCTCGCCAAGCAAACAGCCACTACTTTAGGAAGCCGTTTGGTTGGAAACGTTCAGCAAGCTCGTCTGGGCGTTCTACCTTTTTTCCTGTATTCCGATAATTTATCCAATCGATACCGGGGTTATTTATACTATTGACCAGTCATTTGCCTTTCGGCTGCGTTTGTCGCTTACTGCGGAGCCTCTAAGAATCTATTACAATGTTCTTACAATGGCTCCGAATGGGTTAGCAGCTATTAACGTGCTCATTTACGCGTATATTTTGACGCAGTTGCCGGCGTTGCTCAAGGGACAGGTCCGTGATTTGTGTGTTTGCTTGACTTCTGAAAGGGTGGCTAAAGCTATAGTTTCGCGGTTTTGTAAAATTTGCACGTTGAGCTTGTCATGGGGTAATAGGATGAAATTTGCCAGAGGTACACCAGGAAAAGAATGGTCATAGAAGGTGTTGCAGATGTTTCAAATCGTTCTTTAGAATCAACGCAATCGAAGAATTTACAAAGCGACAATCGCGGCAATGCTTTCATGCACGGGTAAACAACTAGCGATTTTATGCTTGAATGACAAAGCCTAGGCTCAATCGTGGCCGGCGTCACCGTCTGCATCGAGCTTATCCCATGGTTTCTATGGCAAGATCGGATCTGGCCCGTCTGGTGCTTTTACTTTTTCTTCAAAATCGGCTCAGACTTACACTTCATCGGCCTCGCCTGGGTTACTTTCTTCATGTTCAAGAAGGTCAGCAACCTGAATTTTTAGCAATGGAATTCCTCCAGATTCGTGGCGAAATGCTGGCCTTCCTTCACCTGGCCGACCCGACCTCAAACAACATGAAAATCGGTGTCATTTTGCTATCTCGACCGCAAGATTCCAGTAGTAACTCGTCATAAAGTTTCTGACATCTCCTTTTTGCTCAAACCTTCTGAGGTTGTTGGGTCTAGTTCCCCGAAAAGGCATAGAACCTCGACGCCGAACTCACAAATGGATCGAGGGGATTCAACCTTTATACACTATTTATATCCACATTCATCCATTCTTTTGTTTATGTTTCTAAACTAAATTCGATACGGTGCAGTAAAGCTCAATGGTGGCGGTATCTCGCGACAAAGCCTCCCTTCCGCTTCTTCGTTGGAAGGTTTCAAACGAAAAGCTGTAAGGAATATGCTAGCAAAAAAAATTATTGCATCTTGCTCCCCAAAATCTATTTGATTTTTCCATTAAATACGCGCAGAATATGAGTCGAATTTTCCCTCCCAGTTGAATGCAATGGGCAAAAATTTTTTGAAAGGGCAAATTATAGGCCCGAAAGTGGCACCTTGCCAGAGTTTCGACCCGGAATTACTCGCAGGGAAACCACTTAAAGTCAAACCATCGCACCTAGCCCCCTTTTCTAGTGTAGAGTTTGTGGCTGATTCCCAAGTTATTTTCAAAAAATTCTAAATAGTTACTCTGGTTCTGGTTTCGCTTTGCTTCAGCGATGTACCTTCTATATCTCATTTGCTCTATACTTCTCGATATCGTGATGTTATTAACAATTCCCCTATACGTTGCTATTCTTTACGCTACTCGGAACATTGATGCTAACGAAACGGGGAAGACATTTTTGACTTGTCTGCGAAATTTGAGTAAGTAAGGCTCACTATAAACTGGCAATAAAAAACGCCAACAAAACGTTACATTTCTAAGGTATCTGTCTATTGGTCCATTCAATGGCCGCATTTTTCATCAATGAGCCGGCGAATCTTGGACTATTTTCGGAGTTTTTCTTTGCGAATGCTAACTGGATCGGGAAAATCGCCTATGTAAATATTTTCGAAAAGCTTTGAATTTCTGCAAGGGAGACCCTGTTTTTAAAACAAACAAGTTTCTTGGTTAAGATCAGTGAAATCGGGTTCCTAATCCAATCGACTTTCTGGTTGTGCGTACTTACCGTAACAAGATTATTCGTAATTAGAAATATTACGGTGGTCGATAAGGTCAGTTTTTAAAGTGGCCGGTGAGGGAAAGGCATGACATTTAGGAAGCCGCCTGGCTGGAGACGTTCAGTAAACTCGTCTGGGTATTTTATCTCCTCTCGTGCATTCCAATAATCTACCCAATCGATACGGCAGCTTCTTATACCATTGACGAATCGTTTGCGTATCAATGGAGCTTGTCAACGGCACCCGAGCCATTAAGGATCTATTATAATGTTCTTACAATGGCTCCGAATGGGTTAACAGCTATTAACGTGCTCATTTACGCGTATATTTTGACGCGGTTGCCGGCGTTGCTCAAGGGACAGGTCCGTGATTTTTGTGTTTGTTTGACTTGGTGGCTGAAGCTATATTTTCGCGGTTTTGTAAAATTTGCACGTTGAGCTTGTCGTGGGGTGATAGGATGAAATTTGCTGCCATAGACTGTTTGTGCAGATATTTCAACTCGTTCTTTAGAATCAACGCAAGCGAAGAATTTACAAAGCGACAATCGCGGCAATGCTTTCATGCACGGGTGAGCAACTACCGAGTTTAAGCTGGAATGTCAAAGCTTAGGCTCAATCGTGGCCTGCATCACCGTCTGCCTCCAACTACTACCCTGGTTCCTATGGCAAGGCAAAATCTGGCCCGTCTGGTGCTTCTGCTTTTTCTTCAAAGTCGGCTCCGATCTCCACTTCATCGGTGTGGCCTGGGTCACCTTTTTCATGTTCAAAAAGGTCGGTAGTATCTGGGTTTTTAACCGGGTTTCTTCAGATGCGCGGCGAGATATTGGCCTTTCTGCGATTGGCCGATCTACAATCAAAAAATAACTCGAAAATTAGTGTGATTCTCCTGGCACGGCCGCAGAATTCTAGCAGCAATTTTGGATAAAGACTTTATCATCAATTTATATCAACAAAGCACACGGAAGCTTGCAGAGATAGTGAAAATTCTGAATCTTTCAAAGTTTCCAAACCGACCGACGAGAGTTCAACATTTTATGCGCCACATTTACTTTTCGCATGTTTTTGAATTGAAATTGAGGCATGGGCTGCGGAGGCTATCGCAAAACATAGAAAAGATTCTCTTCAAAGATGCTGCGACACATCCTGTTGCTCCTTTTGGTTCTCGCACTGCTGGTGGCCGCGAAAGTGACGGCAAATGCGAAGGGAACGACAAAGGTGGCAGTGACGACAAAGGCGAAAGTGACGGCAACGGCGAAAGTAACGACTCAGGTAGGTTTTCTAGGGTTAGGACATAAGCCTAAGCCTAAGCCTGAGCTTAAGGCTAAGCCTAGGCCTAAGCCCAAGCCTGAGCTTAAGAGCTAACCTAACCCCAAATTCTTGCAGAAGCCATGCAGTAAGGGTTATCGTTACTGCGGCCCAAAGTGCGTGTCGACGGATCTGCCGTGCTCCTCGGAGGTTCGGATATTGCTATATGAACTTAGGCGTGTCACACAGGCCTCTTAACATAGAAGAGATAACTTCAAATAAAAGAAACAATTTCAGCTATCCGAGAAATTGGGGGAAGGCAAGCTCATAAGTTCCGGAAAGTGCCGGCCACCAATGGTCGAGTGCCACGGCAAATGCACAACATTCAACTTCCCTTGCGTTGCCTAAGAGTTAATTGTTTGACTGTTCGTTTATATGGCATTTTAAAGGGATTTTGAATAAATGGATGATCCGCAACCAAGCGAAATGATTGCTCTTACGTGTTTTAGAACAATAAAAAATCTATGGGGTTGGAAGGGGGGGGGTTTCTTGTTTTGTACCTTTTCTCATTGCCACAAAGGTTCCAATTTAGATACAATTCAATGCCGTGAAATTCAAAGTCCTTTTAAATTTCAAGGTTAAGTACATTCTTAAGTTTTTGGAAATATTGCAAACTGAGAAACGTTCGGCGAAGTTATTTATAAGCTTTTCCGGTCGAATTCTTCAAAATCCGCCTTCGCCATTTTTCAATATGTAAAAATATAAACCACATGCAATTTTGCAGGCTTTTCCCGTTTTGTTTTGGGCGTGTGTTGGGCATGTTGGATCCGTTTGGGTTGGGTTGGCGGGAAATCGAGGGGGGTAGGGCCCCAGTAGGACAGCTGTTTGGCGCCTCGTTTATCCGTCGAATCTCCTCATTTACACATGGCGCAATTAAAGGCACTGGCTCTCAGCTAGCCAGTGCTTGGCTTTCGACAATTTTGGTCGTTTTTCTGCTAAAAAAACATGTCCTCTGAAACGTTGATTTCGCGATTTTCACCCTCATCTTCAGGACGTTCAGATAATCTTCAAAAATGGGCAAAAAAGACTCAAAAGAAACGCTTGAAAATTTGTCATTAAACAAAGATCGCCACTGCCCGTCCAAAAGCCTACTATCTCAATTTCCTCGAATCATTCGGCCTTTCGGCTTATCAGTTGACCCCTGGCTGTCGGCTAGCCGACTTGACCGCCAGTCGGTGGCCTTCAATTCTGATTATTCGGCCCGAACCTCGTCCTAAACTCTAAAAATTTAAATTCGGCAACTTTTCTGGAATGGAAGTATGTCACCTCTCGTAGCTCCCCAAAATTACCACCTTCTTTTCAGAAAAAACCGCTCCGGGACCCGGGGATGCCCTACGTGGGCGTGGGCGCGCAGCGGCAAGCTGGCGAGTTCATTTGATTTACTTACTAATTGACTTTTCGATTTTCTACATACATTAAAAATTAAATTAAATACCCCATCGTCGGGATTACCTAAATTTACCGTCAGAACCGTGTTTTTCTAAACTTTGAAACCTCAGGAAAGTCCGTAGTTTGCCAAATTTTAAACGTTTTAAATTTATGTACGTTTACTATTCTAAAACCGCTAACCTCCCTAAAAACTCTGGACTCTGGTCCCCGTACCCAAGTTTTTGAGTCGACCTACGCGTGTTGATGAATTTTTAAGGGAGGTTTACTCGAGGGTTGGAGTCGGGAGCAAGCTCGAAATTTGTCATTGGAATCTCGGTCCACTAAAGCTAAGTATATTCTAATTTTACTATCCACGAAAATTACTTTGCTACATAGATACATGACCTTCACAAAGGTGCATCCGCCCATAGCCCCGCGGAAAAAGTTTGCACTGCAGCAGGAAGGTAGTAAAAGTAAAAAATTCCCGGTTTTTGAAGATTTTAACGAATTTTTAGCAAACTTAGCGTTAACGTTATGTTCACAACATTGTGGTATTTATTAGCTATAAATTTCTATTGGACATATGCTAGGCTTAGGCTTAGGCTTAAGCTTAGGTTTAGCCTTTGCTTAGGTTTGGCTTAGGCTTAGGCTCGTTTTTCGCCATTTTTCTTGATAACTGTAACAGTTCTAACGTTAGTTTTGATCTGAATAAAAATTGTATCCAGTTTCCTGGTCCTCAAAGCCCTTAAAAATTCCTATTTACCCACCCAGCCACCTCCAATCCCATGCGATCCTCATTTTTTTGGTTCCATTCCTCCGCCCCGGGGACCTGTTGGGGGCTTTTGGGGTGGGTTGTGCTGTGTGCTGGTGGGCATCAATCGACTTGTCAGCAATATTCATGTTTTTGCCGTTTTTTTCGTGCGCCCGGCTGACCCGGTGATCAGAGAGGTATCTGCCTGGGGGTGGTGGTGGTTTGGAGGCATGTCCGATTGGGTGTCAGTTGGTCCTGGACAAGGGCCCAGGGCCAAGTTGTTGGGGGGAGATTACATCCAATCAAACTGGGGAATTCCGTGTTGGTGAAGGGGTATAGGGAGGATGACATTATCAAGGAGGGCTAGACTTAGGCTGAGGCTTCTTATTAGGCTTAAATTTTTGCTTGGATTTCTGCTTAGTATTAGGCATTTAGGTTTAGACTTAAGCTTAGGCTTACGTCCTAAGGCAGGTTTTTTGCTTACAAATAATATTAAGCATAGACGTATCCAGACACGTAGAATCCAAATTACCCAAAAAACCCAGCTCGAAACAGCCGAAACCTCAGATTCAGCTGCGCAATCACTATGCGGCCGCCGGATGCTGAGCGTCTACTTGGCGATGGCCGTCGGGCTGCTGATGACGGTGTTCGTGGCGCTGCTCGGAAAATATCACTCTGATCACCCGGCAATAGCCCCGAAAATGGAGACGATTGAGGGTAGGACACGCTGAAACTTAGTACGCCTGGATCATCAATCCCTCAAAATAAGTCGGAAACGTCTGTTTGGATTTCGAAAAAACGATTTTAAACGTAAAAAAGCTGTTATTAGTACTAAATTATCCGGTTCAGATTTCGATGAGTTTCGTATTTTTTTTAACCTGACACCACGCCTCTAAACCGATGAATTCAGATGTGCACGCCTTCGCCGCCCGCACCTTATCCGAAAACATCAACGTTGAGAACATCAAGGTACGAATAGGCACACCATTCCCGGTACGCTATCATGAAAAATTCAGGAATATTTACGCGTCTTCACGAAAGAGCCCCACGTCGCCGGATCCGAGAATAACAAACGGGTGGCGCACGCGATCCACGATCTTTGGAAGACTATCGGGCTCGAGGGTCAGAAAGTTTTTGGATTTGCTAAAAATAGAGCCATGTAAATTCGAAAACTAAGGGCAGTGATGATATTCTAGATGTTCGACTTGTACCCTATGAGGTGCTACTCTCATATCCGGACTGGGATAAGCCGAATAAGGTACGTGAAAATCGAAGCAAACCTGAAAATAAGCGTTTTTAGGTTTTTATCAAAAAAGGGACACAGACGGTCTTCGAGTCGAAGGGAATTAGCCCGGTGATAATTCCAGATGAACAGGGAGCAAAATGTAGGCATCTCTCGCTCTCTCTCTCTCTCTCTCTCTCTCTCTCGCTCTTGATCCGTAGTTTTTTGTAGACGCTGGTCATCAATGGGTAGCTTGGGCAGCCCCAGGTATCGTCACCGGGGATGTCGTCTTCTGCAACCGAGGTCACCAGGAGGATTTTGAAAATCTGCGCAAGCTAGGGGTCGATGTTACGGTAGCTTAAGGTCTTCTGGATTTCTTAAACGCAAAGTTCAGGGCAAAATCGCGCTCCTGCGATATGGCGATGGTTTCCGAGGCGATAAAGTGAAGATTGCGCAGGATTACGGTGCTATCGGGGCCATACTGTATTCCGATCCAGATGACGTGGCGTCAGATGGCACGGATTCTGGTAAGCGTTTCCGGCTTGCAGCACCAGCTTCCGGTCTAGCCCACGTTTACCCAAACACGGTGTGGATGCCGAACGAGGGAGTACAGCGTGGTTCGACGATGCATGGTGATGGAGACCCGTTGACACCATTGTACCCCAGCAAGCCGGATATATACAAATATCGCACGATCGAGCAGGTAACCTGACCTCTGCTCTGTTTTAAAGGGATAGAGACAAAATAAAAAGATCAACTCTAGATTTCCAGGCGAAGAAAGATCGTGTCCTACCCACCATTCCTATTCTACCGATCAGTTACACGACAGCTTGGCAGATTATGTCCCGAATGGATGGACGTCCGGTGCCAAAGCAGTGGCAGGTCGGCCCTTGAGATTTTAAAGGAACTAGGAAGCCTCTAGTCGCTGAGAAAAAATCCCGGACCTCGGCTTCGGAATTTCTCAAAATAGGCTTGAAGAACTTCTCCTCAAAATCGCTATATTTTTAGGGAGGCCTTAACGTCACCTACCGTACGGGCCCTGGCCTCAAGGATGGAGCTACCGTAACCATTGATGTGAAATCGGAATTGCAGACGAGGTTTTTTTTTGCGTTTTCAGGCGAAGATCTATACATTTTTCAGAAACATCCGCAACGTCATTGGCTACATCCGAGGCCGCGACGAGCCCGATCGCTATGTAATCCTGGGCAACCATTTTGATGCTTGGGTAACGAAAAAGATGAACTACAACCTACAAGCTCTAGGTCTACGGCTCCATCGACCCGAACAGCGGGACGGCCATCCTCAGTGAAGTAGCCAGATCTATGGTAGCTACGATGAACCAAACAGGGTGGAGGCCAGGTTTGTAACCAAATCCCGCCTCGAGCTCATATTCTCATGTAGCCCGGAGCATCATCTTCATGTCATGGGACGCCGAAGAGTACGGCCTCGTCGGGTCGACGGAATTCGTCGAGGAGTACGTCGACATTCTGCAGAAGCGAGCGGTTGTCTACATCAACATGGACTGTATGACTGGCAATCGGACCTTGTAAGCCAGAGAATCGCTTCGGGAGAAAGCCGTTGTTCAGGATTCTCAATACCGTCCCCTCGCTCTATGACGTCTCGATTTCCGTCTCAAAAACTGTCAAGAACCCGTTGAAATCTGAGGTTGAAAGAGGGAGAAAAACGGTTTTTGATACTTGGTAAGAATTTTGCTTACCTTTAAAGCTTTGGAAGGCGAGAATTCAAACTATTAAGCCCTTTTTAGGCTCAAATACTTCCCGGACCCAAAACGGCGCGGTAGGCCGGAAATGCAAGTCCCAAGCGGTGGATCCGATCACGCACCGTTCCTGAATTTTGCTGGAGTTCCGGTCATTGATTTTTCCTACAAGGTGCCCGCGACGGTCAGATATCGATTATGAATACCCCTAGAACATCTCCCGGAAAGACTACGCGCTCTACCACTCGATGTACGAGACGCCGTTCGTCAACGAGAATCTGATCGATCCGGATGGTTTTGCGGTAGGCTGGCTACGGATCCTTCTGCAAACCCAGCAAAACCGATCGTAAACGTACTAAAGGCGCCAAAATTAGCAAAATCGAACCGGAAATGCAGCAACAGCAAAATATCATCAATTTTTTAGGCTCATCGAGCAACTGGGCAAGTCTGGGCCGAGCTAGCAAGAAGATTTGCTGATGAGGTACGCGTTTATGCTACAAAAAGCCTTGCAAAAGCCTCCGATCGATTCAAGTGATAATTTCTAGGTCATCCTCCCCTTCAACGTCACCGATTTGGCAGTGTCGATCTTGAAAGACTACATCCCGGATGTCCGGCAAGCCATGGGACCGCTCTACTACTTCAAGGAAGCCATCGACGACGCCAAGCAACAATTGACGCACTTTACCGCGGCTACTACTGTAATTTGCAGGAATCCTCAAAAAAACAACGAAAAATAGGAATTCTACAACGTCGCCCTGCAATTCAACAAAACGATCACGCTGGGCAGGCAGGCTTTTGATCAGAATCCGTACGATCCGCGCCACGTTCACGCGATCAACGAGAGGATTATGGGGTAAATAACTTTAATATAAAGAAACAGATCACTACAGCCAATCTATAAATTTAAAAACTAAAACTAGCAGAAGAACTTTAAGATAAATTTGCTTTAATCCATCGAACCTAAAAATAGCTATAAACAAAACAATTTTAATAGGTAAAAAAAATATAAGACTTTGTAATTCTCAAATATCTCTCGATCGACAAAAATACCAAAGCATACTCTTTTCTATAACTGAATCGCTCATTTTCAGCGTGGAGCGCTGCTTCATCAATCCGCGCGGGATGAAGCGCGCCCCGCAGAGTCGGCACGTCCTGTTTTCGGTATCCGACAAGGACAGCTACAGCGGCCGGGAGATGGCCGCCGTTTTTGATGCCGTAAGTCAAAAATCAAAACGACTTATCACAAAAAATAGATCTCGGATTTCAAAGCGGCCAAATCAACGCAAGAACGCCAGGCGGCTGGCCGCGAGCTCGCTCAGGAAATTAGCAAGGTGCAATACTCTATAATGTGTGCTACAAATGTGTTGTTGGATCATATCTAAAAGGATATTATTGGAATTTGGTACTTACTACCTATTTCGAAAAGTTGGGGGCCAAAAACTTCACAAAGTCCTTCCAGAACACCCATTTTTTTTTCCGCTTTCGCTTATTGAAATACGGGATCTCATCTGTGCTTCTTGTGCCAACCGCAGCAGCAATAAAGAAACGTGTGTTTATTACGAATCCATTAACTATCAACTTAAATTTGGCGGGCGAGGGAGCACTACATTCCACTACATAACAGCACGCACACAACAAATCGAGCAACATGGCGAGATAAATGCAAACCGAGAAATTGGGGGGCGAGGGTGCGCTTAAAATAACGAAAATCAACGGGGTTTTGGGGGGTGAAAATGCTGAGGATCAGACTACTTTGTGCTCGTCGCCGGGCTGGTGATCAGACTCGTAATCGGTGTGGACGAAGGCGCGTTCCACCTGGAAAATTGAGGGTTAGAAACGCAGCCTAAAAAAGTTCTTACCTCTGGTAAGCTCTCAATGTTGACCTGTAAACTCTCAGAAATATCGTGAGCATCGCGGAGCAGCATCTCCGGGTCGAGGATGATGTGGACCTAGAACTTACGAATTACAAGAGAAATTAAATACACAACCTCAACCAAGAATTTGGTGCCCCAATGGTAGACATAAACCGTGTCGATGCCATTTACGCGGTTGTCGTGGTCGAGCGCCACCTAGGGAATTCAATAAATTTTTGCCAGCCTGTTGTTACCTTGATAATGCGATTGATGAAATCCGGATCGGCCGTTTTTCCTGACAACATCGAAGTGTGCTCTTTGCCAGTAGAAAACCTAAAAAAAAGAGAATACGCATTTTACAACGAAAATACCAAGTATATGCGATGTAGATCGAGACGATGATGGCGCCCAACGGATCGACGTTCCACCAGAGCGGTTCAGAAGGTCCAAAGCTGAAAAAAAGCGAGTTATAGCAAAATATAAAATTTGAAAGCTTAGACTTCAAAACGTACTATGAAGCCAGAGCAGCGCAGACGAGAGCCACCGAATTGGACAGGCAGTCGTTTCGATGGTCCATCGCTAGCACATTGATCGACGGGTCGTCGTACCTACAAACGAAAGCATTTTCTGGGTTTTCCTGAAAAACCCACTGTCTACAGACGCACATCAGCGTGAACTTGACGCAAATCGTGGCCACCATAATGCCAGCCGAGACGGCGTCCACGTCAAGTTTTACCTAGATGAATTGCGTCGACGCCATAGAAAATTTCCTCACATCATTTGTGATGACCCGCTTCACCGACTCGTAGATCAGCATCACCGAGGCGATGCCCATCACAGTTGAAATGACGATCTAAAAGCATATTAAACCCCAAGATATCAAAAAAAACCAAAGCCAGCGGTTCCAAGCGAGTACGTCCGCGGGGGTACAAGTAGGGATCCCGCTTCCTGATCATGCGGCTAGTACCGAATATAACGAGACCTATCAAGAAAAATGAAATATGTTAATAGCAAGCCATACCCGTAGTGATATCAACCACTGAATCAGCTAACGACGACAAAATGGACATCGAGCCGGAGAGATAAGAGGCGACAGCCTAAGAATAGGTTTCTTTCATAAAAAAAATATACCTTAGCTATCATCAAAGAAACGTTGATCAGCAGCGTGACGAAAAGAAAGCCTGCCGGCCGCCCTCGACTCGCTTTGACTTTGCTTCTGAGCTGCTTGGTTTTTGTCGCTAAATCAGAAGATTCCTACTATATATAAAAAAATAGTTCCTGTGTGTGTGTGTGTATGTATGTATGTGTGTGCATTTGCATGCAACTTCCGTCAGCGTGTTCCAGCAGTATCTCAATAAGGGGAGTAGGTAGGGGTATGTTTTATACGTCATTAGGTGCGTAATGGCCTTGGGATGACTGCACACTCATAAAATTTTCAAAAATTTGCTGTTTTCGTCGTTAAAATTAAGCTTTTTGTTGAAAAATCGAACAACCTCTTTGTTAGGAAACAATTAGCATACGCCGGAAGTTGCGGAAGCTTATATAAGAGAAGGGAGCTGGCGTTTCTCATTTTTTTGTCATAGAAAATCGCGAGAATTATGCAAAGTGAAGAATATCATGGGATCAGACGGGGCCAGGGTTGAAAAGTCGCGAAGCGGCTTTTCAACCCTGGTACAGTGTTAAATTGAAACCATACATCATCTCCTGCAAAGAATCCGAGCGCTGCTTCTTTAGCGATTTCTTCGAGCCGTTCCGACAAGTTTCGAGATCGTTGTCGCCAGACTAAGAAAATTTCATTCATGAATAAATGAAAATGGTACCAATTGCCGCAGCAAAGGAGCGCCGGGCTCGGCTGTCTCGTCAACAACTTCGGTGCCATTACCATTGCTATTGCTGGGTTCATCGCTACACGTCGACGTGAATCGGGTTTTTCGAAACACCTAAATAAGGAAAATATTTGTGGAAAGGCAGGGCGCCTAGGTTCTCTTTCTCTCTGGCCAACTTCGAATTAGCGCGAGATCAAGAGATAACCTCCAACAAATACCTGGATCTGCTCAGTGTCTTTTTGAAAATTCTCCAGCAACTCGTTTTGTTTCTTGTAATAGGTGGAGACGCTCTTCTTCGGCTTCTTGGCCTGATTCTAAGTGCAAATTAAGTAAATTTTGACTGAAACCGAACCAAATCCGGCGGGGCTATGGCGTCGGGAATCATCGGCCCGTTCTCATTGTCCGAATTCACAGCTGACGACGAGGTCGGAGCATTGTTAGAATCGTCACCTCTGGAACCAAATTAAATGTATAAGAAAACAAGCACCAAAACAACTATATGGGCTTTTGACGCACAAAGCGCTCGCTTAGAGAAAGGAAGAAAAAGCTGGCAAGCCCCCGGGGCGCCTAACGATCGGTATCAGGTTACCTTGCGAAAAATAGATGCGCTATGCCAAAAAAATGCGCAGTCATAAAAATTTAGGCGCCTTAAAAATCTTAAAAGGTTATTACTTACTTTGAAGGTTCTCCCAGGCTGAAGGTGGCGATGCCGGGAGCTAGGGGTATCGAATCTTCATTTTGATTTTCGGGCATCGCATTCGAGATCTGGAAAATAAGAAATAGAATGAAACGGCGAGAAATATCAGAAACGTAAAGGCGAATAATGGAACGGATTTCTCGGCCCAAAAGGAAAAAAGCTTTTCCGGTTCATTGGGGCAGGAATGAAACGGTCAAATGCGAAGCGCCCCTGAAATATATCAAAGAACAGCCCGCCGTTGCCGATTCAGCGCCGCAATCAACGATGTTGATGAGGGGGAAATGAGACGAGTTCCGCAGGGCCAGTTGTCGGCCCTCGCCGCCCGTGCTTCTCCCACAAACATTTCCACGCTGATCCATATTTACCGAACAAATAGCCGAGCCAATCGCGCGCGAGGGGGACCCGGGGGATTATTTTGGCGGGTACTCGAGTAAGTTGTCAAAATAGTAGTGCCCCAGCGAGTGAGTGGACATGGTGGAAGTGAGGCGCAAAAATAGACGCAATTCTGGAGGCCATTAAAAACCATACAGTCTGTATGCCTTTTGCAGAGGCAGCGAACGCGTGCGGGGGAAAACAATGACAAAAATGTATGTGGTAGCAAAAAAAAAGAGAGAGGGTTGATTCCCAGCCCCCCCCCCCCCGACCTTTGTTGATGATCAGTTGCCTGTCGGCTTTGGGGAAATATATTTTTCTCACTATTCTCGGGGTGAACCGCGCTGTGGTCTCAAAAATAATTTTGCTGATCTATATCTATGTTAGACGGGCGCCGGATAAAAATACAAAATAGCACGTTTGTAATAACGAAATCACCCCCGTATCATCAACAACATTTAAAATTGGAGGCAGGTTCCCATGGTTTTCAGGGCATGGGAAAGCGGGGGAAATTTTTGTTGCCACGCTGCCGCATCATACTATTTTCAGCTGGTGTAAAAATAAAAGGAAAAATATATTTGGGGCTGGCTGTCGGCATCAATATCGAAACTTCAGCTGTTGGGCCCCAATGCACAAGCGGCCCAGCTTCTAGTTTGTAGTCGGAGGGGGGCCCAGGGCTCGTGCGCTGATGGGGGAGAGAGTGCGAGGATGTGGAGGATGGGCAGCTAGCCGGAAAAGCTATGCGAACACCTGCCTCCGGGGCGAGGGGGTCTGTGTTGGGATCTCTGGGCGCAGAGAAACAGCCAGCCGTCCCGGGTTACGGCCAAAATAATGCGGGAAACCGGGCGGAAAAAGGGCTCGCGCGCTATTAGAGGGTTGGCTTTACGATTTTGAAGTGATAGGGAACACAAAATTATATTAGAAGAGGGATCAAGCATGAAAAAAGTTCCAAGTTTCTAGAAATAGTCGAAGCCGAGTACGCTGACACCTATCGACAAAATTTCGTTGGTGTTGTCACTCGGAACACAGGACCGCTATTTTTTTTTGTTTACAAAAACTGTTTCCGTAAAGAATAAATAAAATTGAGTTACAGATTTGCTAAAAAATTTATGAATGGCCAACTATCAGAGTCGAGAACGTCGCTAACACAAAAGCAGGGATTATAAAGCAAGCATCGAAAAAAATAACGTTTTGTTTTTCAAGGAAAGGTTAGAGGATGGTGCTCCACCACAAAATCCACAAAAAGGTATATTTACTGTGAATCCTTTGCTAAAAAGTGCTCAAACGAAAATAGACGCTGGGTGAAAGCGAGACTCGGTGTGTGAACGGAAAGGTTTTCATGCCGCGGGTCGGAAGAGTGAATAGGAGGTGATGATAATCAATTGTCAAGTCGGGCAACCCCGTTTCGGCGTGCGCTCCCCGTGGCGTGTGTGGCTCACACCGCTCGCTCTCGCGCGCGTTTGCAAGGCCTTTTTGGCGCGGGCGGGTGGCTAGGAATGGATATCTATAGAAACAACATTTCGCGCCGATCTCCGCGGAATATGGCGTCAATTCGTGCAATCACGGTTGGGATTTGATCCGGGGTTTTTACGGGATGCTCTGACGCCGGAAGAACGAGCGTCGATCAGTGGGTGCGCGGGCGAAGGGGCAGCTTATCGGCACCCAAAATGTTACATATTTGGGTTGAGAGAGAGCAAAATAACAAAGAATTTTATTCGCATAGGAAGCGGAACGAATTGTATGAGACTCGAAATATCTGATTTGAATTATAGATCGGCAATTAGCCTCTGCTAAACGGCAGATGCCCCTCCCACCCGATCGACCCTCATCTATTGTATCTCGTTTTCCCATTGTGCCACATGCCGGTAAAGTATGCCAAAACGTTCGACAGACCCAGACGAACATATCACTACTAGTATCGTTGGTTTTATATACTTTACATCCGGTAGGCCAGGGAAGAGCCGAGTTACAAAAGTACAGTCTTACCAAACCCCCCCTGAAATATTCATCGCAGGCGTTCGCTTTGGCGACGTCGACGTCATTCGTTTTGTACATTAATTCTCCTCGAAAAATATAATATGCGTCGCTTTCCGCACTATAAATTCTCAGCCCTATAGGTGCTCATAGACAGTGTTCTTAGAAAATGCGGCCGCCTCCCTTACTTCTTTTAATTCTTTTCGTCGTTTGCTTCGCCAACCATATCCCTTTCCGGGTTGGAGGACCTGGACGAGGTAGGAGCTTCGGTTTTGAAGCTCTCTGACGTGGTGATTAGACGTCCGATCGGATGATGACCAACCCGGGCCGTCTAATCGAATTGGTGGAGGTGATGTTGCCGACCGGCGTAAGTCCTTTCGACAACCGATTCGGGCTCATTTTCCTTGATCAGTGAGCTTGATGCTGAACCTCTAGATCCTCCCTCCTATCGCTCATTGCACCCGCCGGCCGAGGACGAGGTGGAGGATGAGGAGGGCGTTCTGAGACCTAGCAGGCGTCGGTCGCCACCATCACCCGATCTGATGGTACCCGGAAATCGTGGGTTTGGGTCGGTCGCACTACGCGAGGCTACACTTTACACCCCCAAATTTTGCTTGAATAGGCCGGTCGGTGAATGAGGACATCCACCAACGAAGGAGCCGGACGCGGCAGCGAGTGGATCGTCAGGAAGTAGCATCGGCTAGGCAGCGAGCACGGGGTCGTGCTGGTCTATACGGTTGGAGATTTGAGATAGAGCTGCAGAGGGTTATACAAAATCAAACATTTTCATGTCAGTCCCCCCAAAAATTTGGCCCGTTCAGACCCAGACCCGCCTTCCTACGAGGACGCCCAAGCCGTTCCGCCACCATCCTACGATCAATCGCAACGAGGCGTAGGTTTCGAAAAATGACAAAAAAATATGTTATGTTCCTGTTTGCACGTGAAACAAAGGGGTGACCGGTTTAAGAAGCGTTCAAATTCGTTGACAGTAGAGTGGGAGTTTATTAGGCTAGCTTTCGGGGTCAAGTTCATCAAGGAACTGTGCGCTTCAGGCGCAACCCCGTCGCCGCTCGGGGTCAGCCGTTCCGTGGCGACATGATGCCCCATTCGTTCCGAGAGATCGTCTTGTTGGGCCAGAACATGGACAAGCAGGAATTAATCCACAGCAACAACCACCCGGTATTCGAGTTTTTGGAGTCGACTTCTTCTGAATTTTTAGTGGAACCCGGTCGAATTGCGGAGATACAAGCGAGGCTTGGCGAGTTTATATCACTTTCTTAAATAGGGATTTTATTTCAAGTTGTTTCAAATAAGCTTAGGCGGACGGCACGAGGTGCTGGAGTGGTGGGAGTGGAACCGCATGCCGTTACCGCCGGAATTTGAACGATACACCGAATCGGAGGTCTGTTTACAGAAACACTCAGACCGAACCGACGTTGTTTAAGAAAAATACCTGTTTTAATCGAATCCTCTAATAAACTTTTGACACCGCCAGTTCAGATGCGAAGGGCCTTCGACGCTGTGCCGAAGGAGGTCGACTTGGCTCGTAAGAAAGCACAATTACCGACAACGCATCTCCGTTTCCGGCCGATCTCTGTCGAAACTAGGGGTCCCAAAATCAGACCGAATGCTTTATTACGACCCGAGTCGGCCAGGTGATCCAAAAATTTACTAATTGCCCGGAAAAAATTCAGCCAATGTCGAGAATTATCGCCAAAGGATGCAACAACTTGATTCAAATGTGGATGGAGATGGGAGAGGTGTTGAAAAAAAATGAAATTTACGAAGAAGCCATTTTCAGGTATGACTGAAGCGGGCAGGAGAAGAAAAGACGAATATGACGCCGGGTTGCCAGGTAATTGAGAGGCTAGTCGCAACATTAAGCTGCGCTGATTTCAAGTCAAATTGCGTTGAAACTTTGCATTCTAGGGCCCAGTGGTTGTAAGAAACAGCGGAGAAGGAGGCGATCCCCCGGTTTTGGGTGTAGTCTGGACGTCAAGCAAATCTTTGCTCCAAAGGACAGAAAGGTAATATTTGTAATGACTTGATGCTTTTAGGTTTCGTGGAAATTTCTTAATTATGTAATTCTGTGTTGAATAAATTATTAATAACTTATCTTATTATTGATTTCTGAATACACATGAATGCACGGTTGTACAGAGAGAATGAGAGCGAGAAAGAGAAAGAGAGAGAGAGAGAGAGAGAGAGAGAGAGAGAGAGAGAGGGATTTTACAAGGCAAAACCCGCTTTCAACTCGTTTCTTTTTATTTTGATCGCTTTGAAGTGATTCATGGCTTTTTGTCCATCTGGCTAGGAGCCCACTCGCTTTTTAGGCACTGATCGCGCATCGAGATTGCATCTGGATGTCGATTTTGGCAGCCCGAAATTTGGTTTTGGATCGAATGTTGAATCTAATCGATTAATTGTGCGCAATTTACAATTTTAAATGGGTTTTGTTTTACATTTACGGTTAATTTTGATGTCGCCGAGTATAAATATTTGACTTAGACCCTTTGGCACCGTGCCATTTGCCGAGGAAACAAAATTCCCGGAAAGGCTTGACACCTCAAGCAGTGGTTTTCATTAATGGGTGTTTTTTGACCAATAGTGGGTTGATTAGAAACGATATATAGCTTTTAAAGGCTGTCGCGGGTTTATATGGAAATCGGCTACCCTGAAGGCATATCATTAGTGCGCTCCTGTCATCTGTCAAAGGCATGCCACCTGACTTCAAAACAACCACTTCATGATTGCTTTGTCCTCACTTTCGAACGCCTTTTCGTTGGCCAATTGTGTATACTTTTTATTTATATCTAACATCCTTTCTTTATATTTTCATTTTACAGCGGTGGAAGCCTTGACGGGGTCTGTATTTCGTATAGTGTTGCATAGCGTTTAGAAGCTTGACAAAACTGGCTCTATATAACTTTAAGCGTCGTTTATTTTTGACATTCTTGCTTTGTTTCTTTCATAGTTTGCATACTAGTTGGAATTTTTATCCTTTTTTTTTTGGTTCAGTATCTATAATTTTCATAGCTAGGTCTTATTCTACTCGTATCGTTCTTCTCTTGGACGACGGACGTAACAGTCGATTAAATTTACAAAATTACGCAAAACTAAAACAAGCCTTTCATTAGTGCCCATTACCTTGATCCCGGAAAGGCCTTATCGATCTTGGGGTTTTTGGGCGGATTGATACGGAATTTGTGAACTTACAGATGTACCATTAGTGCGTCGGTCATCTGTTTATTGATAAGAATGAGCATCCAGGTCAGAGCCACCACTTCTTACGCTTAATTTCCTCTCACTTTGGTTTCCTTTCACCATTGAAATATTGTTGCACAACTTTTCCACAGGTTTCCTGTCTAGGTTTCACCATTTTAGCTTGCATTATGAACTCATTCTTGACTTAAGCCACCTATTAAATCTGTATTTATTCCTTATTTAATTCAATTGGATAATTTTGATCGTTAGTTCTTATATGACGTCAATATATTTCAGTAACATGGAATTCGATAAGTCTCTTCCCGCGATTGAGGTCCCGGTGCCGAAGTGGTTCCTCTCCTGGAAAGAGATCTATGAAATGGTAAGTCGACTTTAAAAATATACTTTTAATTACCCTTATTTTATTTCATCTATAGCATTTTTATACCTACCATTTACAAACTTAGACAACAAAATCAAATTATTTCAGTCTCCCTCGCGCCGCCATATGAGCTACGAGCAGGAGCTGCACAATCGCCAAAGCGCCGGCCAATTCATGCATCTGCTCACCGAGCGTCTGAATCAAGGATTCACTGAGAAGTGGCGGAAAGTGTAAGTTATAAAGCACTATTATACGATCTTAAGCTTACTAAAACGTATTTATATAAATCTCGTAAAATTTCCATCTCAATCCTTCTTTACAGTTCAATGCTATGCGCTTGCGCCGCGCTGATGCACGTGAATCGTGTCTTTACGCTTCACTCGTTCCAGGATCTAGACTACAGGGTAGGCTAATTTGAGTTTTCATTTTTAATAAAATAAGGGCTGGCGGAATTTTAAATGGGTAGTGACAATAAATTTAATAAAAAACGCGTTTCAGGACGTTTGTGCCGGCGCTATGCTAATGACCGCTAAAGCCGAGGATTGCCAGAGGTCACTGCGCCAAGTCGTCAAAGCCTGGTGGTCGCTTCGTTTCCCGACCAAGCCGCAAATCCCTGACGAAGTACGGTAGCTGGGGTAGAATATAAAAAAGAAAAGAAACAACTTTCTGGTAGACCGATTTTAAGGTTGATTTTTTTAGTATTATGACGACGCTGCACACCGTATTGAATTCTTTGAGAGTGTGGTGTTGCAGTCCCTTGGTAAGCTATGACTTTTAAAATAATTATCAACAAAATTTTTTTGAATTTTTTGTTCGATTTTATAGTAAACCAGCGGGGGAGGAGCCGCTTCGCGACTCTCCCCCGCTGGACGCCGTCTAGGCCTTATGAATTGACCGCCCTTCCACATAAAGTTACCCTGACGAAAGAAAAACGCAACTCTCATGCAAACCTCTTTTTGTATTGGTACGCGGCTCAAACTTGAACTGCTAGTCTCGTTATTAAGCCTGCGGTGCATGTTTGATCGGTTACCTCCTTCTTTAAGCCTGCGGCGCTGGCTTGTGCGGCTAGCTTCGTTCTAAAGCCTGCGGCGCTAGCTTGTACGGCTAGCTTCGTTCTTAAGCCTGCGGCGCTAGCTTGTGCGGTTAGCTTCGTTCTTAAGCCTGCGGCGCTAGCTTGTACGGCTAGCTTCGTTCTTAAGCCTGCGGCGCTGGCTTGTGCGGCTAGCTTCGTTCTTAAGCCTGCGGCGCTAGCTTGTGCGGTTAGCTTCGTTCTTAAGCCTGCGGCGCTAGCTTGTACGGCTAGCTTCGTTCTTAAGCCTGCGGCGCTGGCTTGTGCGGCTAGCTTCGTTTTAAAGCCTGCGGCGCTAGCTTGTACGGCTAGCTTCGTTCTTAAGCCTGCGGCGCTGGCTTGTGCGGCTAGCTTCGTTTTAAAGCCTGCGGCGCTAGCTTGTACGGCTAGCTTCGTTCTTAAGCCTGCGGCGCTAGCTTGAGCGGTTAGCTTCGTTCTTAAGCCTGCGGCGCTAGCTTGTACGGCTAGCTTCGTTCTTAAGCCTGCGGCGCTAGCTTGAGCGGTTAGCTTCGTTCTTAAAGCCTGCGGCGCTAAGCGTACGGCTAGCTTCGTTCTTAAGCCTGCGGCGCTAAGCTTGTGCAGTTAGCTTCGTTCTAAAGCCTGCGGCGCTAGCTTGTACGGCTAGCTTCGTGCTTAAGCCTGCGGCGCTAGCTTGTGCGGTTAGCTTCGTTCTTAAGCCGGCGGCGCTAGCTTGTGCGGTTAGCTTCGTTCTTAAGCCTGCGGCGCGTAAGCTGTACGGCTAGCTTCGTTCTTAAGCCTGCGGCGCTAAGCGAGCGGTTAGCTTCGTTCTTAAGCCTGCGGCGCTAGCTTGTACGGCTAGCTTCGTTCTTAAGCCTGCGGCGCTAGCTTGTGCGGTTAGCTTCGTTCTAAAGCCTGCGGCGCTAGCTTGTACGGCTAGCTTCGTGCTTAAGCCTGCGGCGCTAGCTTGTGCGGTTAGCTTCGTTCTTAAGCCTGCGGCGCTAGCTTGAGCGGTTAGCTTCGTTCTTAAGCCTGCGGCGCTAGCTTGTACGGCTAGCTTCGTTCTTAAGCCTGCGGCGCTAGCTTGTGCGGTTAGCTTCGTTCTAAAGCCTGCGGCGCTAGCTTGTACGGCTAGCTTCGTGCTTAAGCCTGCGGCGCTAGCTTGTGCGGTTAGCTTCGTTCTTAAGCCTGCGGCGCTAGCTTGTGCGGTTAGCTTCGTTCTTAAGCCTGCGGCGCTAGCTTGTACGGCTAGCTTCGTTCTTAAGCCTGCGGCGCTAGCTTGTACGGCTAGCTTCGTTCTTAAGTCTGCGGCGCTAGCTTATGCGGTTAGCTTCGTTCTAAAACCTGCGGCGCTAGCTTGTACGGCTAGCTTCGTTTTAAAGCCTGCGGCGCTAGCTTGTACGGCTAGCTTCGTTCTTAAGCCTGCGGCGCTAGCTTGTGCGGTTAGCTTCGTTCTTAAGCCTGCGGCGCTAGCTTGTACGGCTAGCTTCGTTCTTAAGCCTGCGGCGCTAGCTTGTGCGGTTAGCTTCGTTCTAAAGCCTGCGGCGCTAGCTTGTACGGCTAGCTTCGTGCTTAAGCCTGCGGCGCTAAGCGTGCCGGTTAGCTTCGTTCTTAAGCCGGCGGCGCTAGCTTGTACGGCTAGCTTCGTTCTTAAGCCTGCGGCGCTCATTCTATAGGCTGCGGCGTGAGTGACGAACTTCACAATAACGTCCCTACACGGAAATCCACTCCGCAACACACTTTCCGAGCAGAAAGCAAAACAACTACGATATCCGAGGATCGAACCTCCGATAGTTAGATTAGCACGGCAAAGCGCTAACCACTACACCATGCAATGCGCGGCATCACGCACCAAAAGCCCTTTTTGGGCATTGCCCGGGGCAGGGGAAGAAAAAGCATCGAGAGGCAAATCCAAAGAGACGACCAAACTCGCGAGTGCAACTGGCAAGAATGAGGAAATTTGTATTTTTTCACATTATGCAAATTAGTCCTCCCGGACCCCCAAAAATGAATAAAACCGGCTTTAACTTTGTAAACTTGTATTTGATCGGGATTCTGAAAGCGCCATCGGAAAGAGGAGGGTCGATTCCCCCGGGTGTCGGAGAATTAGGGCATTTTGGACACGGGAAGGCCCTCAAATCGGGCCTCGAAAGTGACATCCACACACACACACACACAAAGATACGCGACCAAATTATATAAGGTAGGAT